TAGTGCTGTTGAAACCGACTGCCACCTTCAAACAATTTTTACACATCCACTCGTTTATACTATTACATAGCATTACTTCTCTAATTTTAATTTGTATATCTATTTACGCGAGAGATTTGTTGCGACGTCTTTATTTGATAAGTGGAAAGGTTGGCCGACCTTACTAATAAGTAAAAGTTAATTATTATTTTCTAAGTTGCTTTTTTATGCTTTAAAAATTTATCTATCTTGAAAGTAATTTTTACTTTATTATTAATATAAGAAATTTATTTTTAATTGCAAGCAATTAAAAGCTACTTATTTTTTAACTTGGAAATAATTTATTAATATATAGAATACGAGTGATAGATTAACGGATAGTACTTGATGAATTCAATGAAATATCCAAGGAAAGATGAAGTTTTGATTTGACTAAAAGACGACTTTATGTGTTTACCTATATGGGTCAAGACTTTTATCACTTCACAAATTTCTTATGAACCGTTTAGAAATACAATTATGCTATAAGTACATATTGTTTTGATATAAAATTTTGACAGACAACACTTGATGCGGTACCATTGGACAATAGGAAAACATAAAAAACACAGGCCAATCAAGTTTGGTCATGTCAGGGTCGGTATCAATTTTGTTAAAAATTGTCCTGTGTTTGGAGCTTTATTGTTAGAGATATTACTACTTTGTGATTCAAGTATGTGTTTGTTTGAACATAAAAATTATGCTTGACTCGTTGAATTTCCTCACTTGGAACTTTATTCTTTGCCGAATTAATCCTTTTTATGCACTCTCAAGTTTTAACCGAACATGTTCAATTTGATCGATACATTTAATGAATCAAGAATAGATAAGTCTATGAGAATATCAATTTGAAAAAACTGAAAATCGAAATGGTGGTCCTTCGGATTCTCCCTCGGAACTCAAATGCAAGAGGTCATTATGGTTATGATTTGGCATGCAATGTAGAAAATGATTAAGCAAGTCTTTGATAGTTTTCTCAAGAATTTGTTCGTAATATGAAAAAGTGGTGGCATGCGAATTTTAATTATGACTAGTTGCTATCACGTTTTGGTATTATACTTTCAGTGGGATGGATTTGACTTTCATTCCTTTTTATCTAATGCCCACTTTACAATACGAAGTGGCAAATTGAAACACATTCTCTTCAATTCCCGAAATGATTAAGACCCTGTTTGATTTGGATCATATTACATTAAAATCAATAATTAATTTTAATCATATATTTCATGGAATCCATAACTTATCTATCATACATTTCCTTAAATTTTATCAAAATCTACTAAAATCTGATTTTGATTTACACCAAATTTGGGCTAAATTACACAGAGAATTAGCATGTGTTTTTATTTTTCGAGTGATTTAAATGATAGGATCACGAGAACTTTCCTTGTATTCTTTAATTTTTTTTTCCTTTTTTAATTTAATATTGTTAAGTGCGATAGAATATTGTATACCAAACATGGAATGAAAAACGTGAAGATAATACTAATGTATTACTAAAAACGTGAAGTAAAAAGCTTTGACTACATTTGAAAGCTCATGTTCATGGAATTATAAAATCCATTGACTTAGTGGAGATGGAAAAGATTACGAAGAAGCCTTTTTCAATTGCAAAAGTTTCTCATAATGATTGCAGCCACCATGGATGTACATGTTTCTTGGTTGATTTCTTGTCCACCATTACAATGAAACCCAATAACCAAATGAGTACTTCTTTTCGTAATTGCTCACCCTTTTAATGACATTGAGTGTGTATGCACAATTGTTTTTTCAAGATCAAACCGGTTGTTCAAAAATCTCGTAACTAGTCCAATTGCACAAATTCTCAAATCGTAAAGAGTATTTAGTTAGTAATCTGATAAGTTCGACACTAAACCAACATGTCGTTAGAGTCGATACATACTTTCGAGATCAAATCTCAACGGTACCTTATATGGTACTCACTCGTGCTTTGTCCATATCGATAACAAGCAAGACGACAAAACTAAACAAAAAGGGCAAAACAGGAAATTCACACGAATGTAACAGCAACACAAACTAGTTGGGGAAGATTGCAATGGAATAGGGGGGATTGTGGGAGGGTGAAGTGGGCTGTCCACAATTTCACTTATTAGTGGAATAACCGCACGCTTCAGACCGCACCTATTACCTTGGCCTTAGTGGCCCCCACCCCCCAAACGCCCACCGGCTATATATATTTGCCAACTATTAAAATAATTAATTAATATATATACAGAGAGAGAGAGAGAGAGAGAGAGCACGCCGATATATGTGTGTATATCCACTAATTATTAGATGTACATATATAAATTGCAAGCATACCTACCAAGCTTGAAATTATTTAGGTTGTAGCGTGGAAGTAAATATGAAAATGCCGACACACAAAATGTACACACATGGTCAACTTGATTAGCTTTATCAGGCTCGGTGCTCGAAATTATGAGGCCAACGGGTGATAAATTGTAACGCTACTCTTAAAAATAAATGAAATGAACACTTTTAAAATAAATAACTTATTTTTAACTTTCATAAAAATACATTTAAGGGTATGTCCATTTTATTCCTTAAATAAAAAATGTAAGTTAAAGTGTCGAAACACTTTGAGACTCTCATTTAATTGTTTTGTTGTTGAATTTTAAAGGACTAAACGAGCAAACTCAAAGAAATATAAAGGAAAACTTTTATTAGGATATTGGAATTTTTTTTGGAGGCACTTCAGATCTTGAGGCTTAAGGTAATAGCCTAGTTTGCCTTGAGCCAAAGCCGAGCCTGAGCTTTACCATGGGGTCGAGCTGAGGGGTCGCTCTGTAATTAGAATCAAGAAGTTTTCAAACTGTTCATGTAGTGTCCTTGTGATGCTTAAATAAGATATGAACTTTTGCTATTAAACGTAGAGATTGATCTAGTGTATTTCTTGGTGTTAGATTATATGTGTAATAAATGAAAAAAAAAAATTCCTTCTAGAGAGGCCGGAGCAAGTTAGAGGTCGATGCTATGACACACTACAATTTTTAAGGCCACTAAATGACCTAAGTATCGATTGACTAGCACTTTGAGCCCCTTCCTTGACGACCATTATTTGAGAAAAATAGAGTTTTGAATAGTGATTTTTAGGAAAATGTGTGGTTAAAAAGTAGGGAAAATTTTGGATTTACGTGCATAATATTTTATTATGTGAATGTTTAATTGAAAAGAAGTATATAGAAAAAAGAGTTGGAAAATAATGATTGTCGAAAAAGGGCTAAAGATATAGGTTTAGTAATTTTGGATAGTAGTGTATTAACACTTCAATATTCATCCTAATGGCTCTTTGAAGCTGCACAATTAGTTCCAAATTAAATCGAGCTGATTTTGAGTCATATTTGAAAATAGCCTTTGCGATTACGTATATAAATCGAACACTTAAGCTCCAATCCATTTCAACAAAGTTTGAAGTGGTGATGGGGCTCAACTCACGTGAACTATTTCTAAATCGTGTAATGTTAAATGACGAAAACTTAACTCGGGAAAAAAGAGCAAAAGAAGATGAATGTTCTTGTCTCGAAAGTTGGTGGGGTTAGAGTAAATCAATCCGAAGTTGGCGAAGGTGATTTTTGGACAAGAACATGTACTTATTCCCTAATTTTATGGGATTAGCCTGCCATTAATGTAAATTCTAGGACAAATGATATCCTAGTGGACTTCACATATGACCCCACAAAAGTCCTTTTACCTATTGTTATCTTCCACGTGTAATTGCATGTCCCAATTGTGGGTGTCAAATGTGGGCCCTACATAAGTCACGCCCTCTGATTAATTCTTAATTTGCTCTTCTAATTATAATTAATTATAATCAATGTCTATGCGCGTGCATGCTCTATATGCACACATGGTGTGTGCTAATGAAGGGTCAACCCTTTTCTCTTTATCTTAATTCTTAGATACATGATGATTGCATCATATTATAATTGAAATTGCTATCCTGGGTCAGTTTGCCATTCTAATTAATTGACAAGATAATTGTTTATTTAAAATAATGAAGAATAATTAAGTTGGGGAGTTAGTGTTTGAATAAAATCGATCTAGTGCCTTAGAAAATTATGAAGTATATATATTTTTGGATTAATATAAAATCTCTTCCGATAGGAGTGAAACAAATAGATTTGACTTGAACGGATCAAAATCAATCTTGATTCGTGAGTAAGGTTATATTGATGATGAAAGAATGACTTGTTTGGTAACAATGCTAATCAAGAAAAATAAGTTGAATTTTGTTCATTGTAATCTAATTTTCAAGATCAACGGTACTTTCAACAACTTATCTATATGATTTCCTGCGCTTTTGTGCATATTGGCTTATTCTATCGTCTGCTAGTTAGTGAAACTTTTTTGATAGTATAATTTGGTAAGTCTCACCTCTTTTTATACGATAAAATGTACCTATGGGAACTAGCAAGAGAGTGAAGACTACTCCGCCAAACAAAGAGTAATTCGATCAAACTCATACGAGTAAAAGCAAGAATGGAGAGAGGTGACTTGACTCGGAATGCCAATAGTCCAGTCCTATCCATTATATATGCCTGGAAGATATGTTTACCATATGTTTGGTAAGTGTTTATAAATGTTGTGTGTATATAGATAACTGAATAATACTTGTGAGTGACAAAATATGTAGATATAAAAGTGATTTCTTGACGACATACACGTGTATCTCTTTTATTATGTCCAAATCTATTGTACCAAACGTGTCATGTGGGTTGAAGCTCATTGATGACCCCCAATGACATGTCCGAATCGGGATTAGAATAACATTTATTATGTTAGAATGAAATAAATATAAACATTAAGGAAGCCCTAGTAATGACAAAAAGATAGTTGGGAAAGTGGCTGTTAACACCTTTAAAAGGAGCCCATTTGCCTCATTCAATCCATCAACAAATCCCTCTTACACACACTTTCTCTCTAGAATTTCTTGATCTTTGATTCAATTTAATATACAAATAATGGGTGAGTTATATCAAGTGTTGATTCATAATGGCAATGGGTTCTCTAAAGTGCATTGTGAACCCATAAATCAGAAGGAAAGTAATGATGACCAGAAAGAGGATTCTTGGTTTGAAGAAGAACTGGATGCTGATCTCAAATGGTCTTTTGCTTTGAATAGGTATTGAATTAATTTTATGCATTAAAACTTGATCATCATCATCACCATCATCTGTAGTGAATCTGATCACTGTTTATGCATGTGCATGTACTGTATCACTCCACAATCAAATAAATGTTCTTTTATTGTCTTTTTTAAATTTTGGGAAGAACACACGATGACTAACAGTACGTTGGCCTTGCTTAAAAGCCGCTCTTTTAAGCTTTTCTGGGCTCCATACAGAAGCGTACTGCCCAAATAAGCACCTAAAGCCCTTCTCCCTTTTTCAGAGTTCTGCACAGAGGAACCAGTGAGTACCAGGACATAGCCCTTCTGGACACAAAACGATTTGGAAAGGTAATTATTGGTATATTATAAAGTTAATTAATTAAGGTCAAACTTGATTATATTTGTAAATAGTAACAAAGATACTGTTATTTATTTGATTAAAAAAGTATATTAAAATGGTTTGGTGTAAGTTAATGTTGTGATTTGCATGCGTTCATGCAGGTGTTGGTGATTGATGGGAAGATGCAAAGTGCTGAAGTTGACGAATTTATTTATCATGAATATTTAATTCATCCTGCTCTCTTATGTCACCCCAAGTAAGTGGTGTCACTTCCCATTAGTTTGATCCTGAAGAATTTGACCGACCATAAAATGAAATAACACGGATTATATATCGAATTTGTATCCAAATTTCGATGATTATTTATGAACTAATAATCCAATCTTGATCGTGCCAAATCATCAAACGAAAAACTCATTCTTGGAGACAACTCATCGGAGGCATCTTATAAGGACCCAAGCCGTTAACTCATACGTATTGGGATAGTTCTTGTCCATCTTACCCTTCATGACTTTCTACGGTGTCCCAAATTGAACCTAAAACTTCTGTCTTATGATGTAACAGCTTGAGCACAGAGACCGGTGTCATTATACTTCTTGCAAACACTCCTATATATAGAATAATTACTTGGTGCAAAGAATGATTTACATATCATAGGTTTAAGTGCCTAATCTAATTTGAATTTGCAGCCCCAAAACTGTGTTTATAATGGGAGGAGGTGAGGGGTCTGCAGCAAGAGAAGCACTCAGGCACAAATCATTGGACAAAGTGATCATGTGTGATATTGATCAGGTATTTATATATATGAGTATAATCTGCTTAAGTGGAATTTAATCCACAATATTGAACGGTTTTGGATACTCTTTAGAAAGAAAAATATACTGTGTAGTCGTGTTTAGTACTATGTACGATGAAAATGATTCAGTACTAATAAAATGAATATTTATTCTCTTTTTAATGTTGTTAATTTAAGAAGGCATGATTCCAATTATTGGTGTTTATATTACTTGGCGATGCAGGAAGTAGTTGATTTTTGCAGAAAGCATCTTACAGCAAATCATGAGGCTTTTCGTAATATCAAACTTAATTTAGTGATCAATGATGCCAAGTAAGGATTAATCGTCTTATCCGTAACTAGTTACTTTTAAGTTAAATTTGACTACTTCTACACAATAGTCACTTGTTTGATAAAGTGGATTAGACCATAATGTTGAGTCTCGTCTTACTGCTAATTGAGTATTAATTATTATTGAAGAGCTGAATTGGAGGAGAGGGATGAAAAGTTCGATATAATAGTGGGAGATTTAGCAGATCCAGTTGAAGGAGGGCCTTGCTATCAACTATACACGAAGTCTTTCTATGAAAATATTCTCAAGCCTAAACTCAGTGACAATGGCGTCTTTGTTACTCAGGTAGATGATTTTTTATCTTTTGCACGTCATTTTCACACTTGGGGTGAACAAGGCATGTTTGGTATGCTCGGCTAGACAATAAATGTAAGTCTGAGGTGCATGCATGTCTGATTGTGTAGGCTGGACCAGCAGGGGTGTTTACTCATAAGGAGGTCTTCTCATCAATATACAACACAATCAAACAAGTTTTCAAATGTAAGTATTTCTCTAAAAATAGTCGTTGAATGTCGAATTTTCCTTTAGTTCCAACAACGAGATAAAATTAGTTGTTGTTTTACTATATTAACGATCGGACTTATGTTTCTACTAACTAATTATGTTGTCGTTGAATATGAACAATTTATTTTGGCGGAAATTCTTGATTTGACATCCATTCACAACGATCAATTTTAATTTGGTCCTAAAAGTTATAGAATTAACAACCATTTTTTGTTGTTATAAGATATTTCCAACTAATTTAAAATTCAATTGTTCATCATTCATTTTCTACGACCAAACTTATAATTTAGTTGTTGAAAATAGTTTTTAACAACCAGATTAATTTGGTCGTTGAAATATTAGTTGTAAAATATCATTTTTCTTGTAGTGAATAACTCCCTTTATGTAACATTACATTCTTAACGCTAATTATAAACTTATATGTATAATGCAGATGTTCTTGCATACACAGCTCATGTGCCATCATTTGCTGATACATGGGGTTGGGTTATTGTAAGTATAAATATATAAATCTAAATGTATTTTAGATTTAAATAAACAAATGAAGGTAACGGTACGTTCTTGGCAAATTCAGGCTTCTGATCAACCACTCTGCATTGAAGCTGCAAAATTGGACAACAAAATTGCAGAAAGAATTGATGGAGAGTTGCTGTACTTGAATGGAGCGTCGTTTGTCTCCTCCACCATTCTAAACAAGACCGTTACCAAAACGTAAGACATCAAATAATCAGTAGTCTTTTCAAATATGACAAGTAATGTAATCTTGTGCAATGGACTAGGCATCTAGCAGATTTTTCTTTCAAGTCAGGAGTGAAGACATTCATAGACCATTCAGTGAATTGTTGGGTCCGGTTGAATACTGCGTACCAAACATAAGATTTCTTTAATTCAACACTCTTTTGCTTTCTTTTAACTCCAAGCGTCTCTTTTTGCCTTTTTCAGGTTGAAGAATGAGACCCATGTCTACACAGAGGACAATGCAAGGTTCATCCATGGCCAAGGTGTTGCATACAGGATTTAAGGTTGTCTTGGTGGGGCTGGGGATGGATCAAAACCATAAAAATCGTTGGCAGCTATTGGCTTTTAGACAGTATATATGCTAAGCTTCTTGTGGTGGTTGTAGGATTCTAGCTAGCTGTATTTTTACTGTTTATGTAATGCTGAAAATTATGGAGCATTCCTCCATCAAGCTTTCAATTATACATTTTGGATCCTTTCTCTTACAATCATATTTTGTCCGAAAACAGAATCGTGCAATTGATTGACACTGAACGATGTAGACTGGTAGTTGATATCAGAACCTCTATAACTTTAATGTTCGGGTTTAGTGGTAAACTACATTATTCGATTGCAGCCATTACTAGGGGTGTCCAAAAATCCCGAACCGAACCGGACCGAACCGAATCTGAACCGAACCGAGTGGTTCTTCATAAATTAAATACTCGAACGGGTACCCGAATAGAGAACCGATAGGTTTGTGTTGGGTCTCGGGTCTAGATCAAGAACCGAAGAATCGAATAAGAACCGAAACTAAATAATTTTTTTATTTTTTATATTGAATTAATTAAATTATTTTANTTTTTGATTTTGGCTACGTTAATTTATAAATGTTACGAATGAAATGGCATTAGTTGTATTTATGTAGTGTTGCTGTAAATATTTATAAATTTAATTATGATACGGAATCGAACAGAACCGAATCGAACAGAACCGAACCCTAATAGTTCCATAATTATATTTGGACTCGGCGGGTCCATTTATTAAATATCCGAAAGTTTTGGGTCGGTTCGGGTCTCTTCAAAACCGAACTGAACCGAACCGAACAGACCCGACCCACAGACAGCCCTAGCCATTACAATGTCAAAAGGCTGACATTCCTCCGTTAAGCTTTCAATTGTTCGTCCAACGACAAATTTGTTCTACTGTTATCCTTGTAAAACGTAAAATGGGTTGATGTCATTTTTGGTTCCAAAATTATGAGGAATGCTCAAACAAATTTTTTCACTTCTCTTGACTGGATCGAAGTTTGATACACCAATCACAGCACCAAGAATGGCCCCAAGCAAAACTCCACCAGACATATTGCTAAGCAAGAAGTTCATAAGAGATGTAGTGACGCCATTTCCAGCCACCTCTGGCACCACCAAGCAGGCAGCCAAAGCCTCTGCAGTTATTCCCACAATGGTCTTCTCCTTGATCGTGGCATCAACTTGAAGTTAGACCAAATTGCAGAATGTAAAAATGTATTTTATTAATTACAGGAAGTCAACAACTGCAGAGAAGGAAGCAAAATATAATCTCTAACGGGAAGAATAGATTTACAAACCGAGATCTGTGTATATACAATGTCCTTCAAACAGATTCATCCTCTCATCATGAGTACTTGGTGTTTCGTTGAGCATTTGTATCCTAAGATACAATTGAGAAATCAGTAGAATAGTTTCTACACCAGTGAATTGAAAGACACGGACATGACATGAAATGGAAATTTTGGACATACCAAAAGATACAGACACGAAATGGAAGAGATTATTTTGACATTGTCTTTGTCAGCAAGTCGCGCTCGTACACGAGTTCAATTGCCCGATGTGCTAATCCGATCCATAATTTGCACTCCAGCGCTTGCATATAGAGTTATACATTTGTAAAATATAAATATATAATCTGGCCATTGCCATCTCATTTTTCCTTGGAACAAGCTATAATTTTACTTTCCTGCCAACACCTGACCACTTCCAATTGGTACACTTTGATATTCAATTTATCATTCATCCGAGCATCATTTTAGCCAAGTAAATATATGATTTTGCTGTTCTCTTATGGGAGAAGACAAATCTACATTGATCAAAAAAAACAAAAAAAATGAATCCCACCCAAAAATTATACCAATACACAGTCATTTTCCAACTTGAAGCTCCCGAGTTTGATGGCTACAATTGCAATGGCTTGAAAAATGCCTCACAGGCTGGTGGCTGCGGTGCCGCCATTTCCTCTGTAAATATTAAATAAGGCCATTTTTATTTTTTTTCCCTGCTTTATGCAACAATTAATAGTAAATTGTATCACAATAATAGGTGATGGTTGAAAACCATTTAGTCCCCGCTGATGTGGCATTTCAGACATCAACCACGCTACATGAACAGATTCAATGACAATTTAAAACAGGGGAACACGTGTCATTTTTTCATTTGACAATTAGAAAAAAAAAAATAGGTGGACAGGTGCTGCCACACAACACCTGTCACCAAACCCTGTCAATTTCCCCTGTTTGAGTAGCTTTATTCTTTAGACATACCCTACGTGGCAATTCCTTAAGCATGGATTTCAAGAGAGAGCTAACCACTATGTTTGTTCCTGTCAAATATGTCATGGAATTGCCACGAAAGCAGACCAAGAATGAGACAAGTTATGTCAAACAAATGACCAATGTTACCATGTTCTTACCTACTTTCAATAAATAAAATTTCCTTAACCGCCAACAGTTCAAGTAGTTCAAGGTTTTAAATGATCAAACCTTGCTACATTTACACTCTCTTACACATTTTTTTACGCTCTTTCACATAACAACATCTACGCTCTTGTTTTTGAACTCATCCATCACATCATTGTACATATTTCCTTTACACATAGGAAAATGTCAACCAAGTTGTCATAGTTGATGTACATATAACATTATTCTTAAATGATAGTATTCAACAAGAAGAATATAGCCAACAAAGTTAAATAGTTCAAGCCTAGCAGTGAAAACTCCAGTCGACACTCTACGGAATTAAATCAACTCAACGCACACTAAAGTGAAATTGAAAATAATAATAAGGAAATAAACACTCGGGACATCTAACTGAGGAAAAAAATAAGAAGAAAAAGATGCATTTCAACAAAAGATTTTGTATAATTCAGGCATCCAATAACATCCACAACTGCAGTAGACTTCCTAGAAGCATAAATCATAACGAAACAAAAGCTGGAACAACCAGCAGCAAACCCAAGAGGCAAGAAAAATGAAGATAAATCACTATCCTTCTTCTGAGGCTAGATTTTATACACAGCAGAAACAACGGTGACGGTGACTGCGACTGTGACTGTATATCTGTTTACATACTATCAAGAAGCAGTTCTCCAGTTCAGCATTTCTATAGGTGCATGACAAAAATACTCTGGCATCACCTGTTATCTACATAAGCAGGCAACAGATAATTTGTTAGAGAACATGGCAAAAAAGATATCCCGTTGCTTACTTCATTCATGTTCTAGGAATATCAATTTAATTGATATTTAATAAGAAACAATATAAGATAATTGTTTTACTCATTCAAAATTTGAAAAAAAGCAAAAATATACTTTCAAGGTTGTTTGACCGATGCTCAAAAAATTATTCAGATTGTTCGCTTTGTAATTGACCCTGATATCACAAATTCATGATAAGAAGTTTGTTTCGGAACTACAATATCAGTTATAGCATCACAAGTGAATATCTTTCAGCGTCATGAGCTGGGGAAAGTATAACTCCAAATCTGCAAGGTACATATAATTTTCAGAGTTAAAAAGAAAAAAAGCACTTACGGAGTTAAAAGATAAAATCATCTGCTGATCCTAGCTGACACTGCTCTTGATTAGACGAACTTCTTGAGGAAGGAGATCATATCCAATATGCAGCTCTTCAAACATTTTCTTCAGTTCGAGGGCTAGATCAGTTCTGCGTCTACTTTTCTCTCCAAAATCTTGAAAGTTGATTGTATGATTAAAAAAGACAGCCATCTTAATCTTGTTCACATTTTCAATCTCCTTCACGACTACACTGTGGTTAGGATGCCAATGTTGTGGATTTTTCTCTAAATACCTAAGCATTAAGAATGAAACAAGAAAAGAGTTTAGTGCATGTTTGGCAAAGCTTATAATTGCTTATAAGCCGGTCAAATATCATTTCTAATGACACATTCCACATACCCACAAATTTTATCTACTTTTATCTACTTATAAGCACTTAAAAGCTTAGCCAAGCAATTTGCAGGTTTTCACGAAGGTCATTTTAACCTTTTCGAGTGTTTATTGTGAGGATATTCTAACAAGTCTAGATTATATGAAATGTTTGGTTTACATAAATGGCTATAAAAGAGTTTCTCTTATTCATATTAACAACTACTCTAGGATGAATGTTTTTATAAGGTGCTAACAATTTAGTAACCATTTTTGTAGCTCCACAATGTTTCATTTTATGCTCCTGCCTATTATCTGGATATACTAATAAAGATGTAGTGTAATGAGGCTAATATGAAATACATATTCATGAGCAGGGTAAGCTCTTATATTGTGGTTCATGGTTTCTCTTGGCTATAAGGTTGATCCAAGGAAGAAATCAAGTTTCAACAAATAGTGAATGGCAACACTACAGGCAAGCATTGGACTCTATCTTCATAAATGTGATCTCCATTATCAAACAGACAAATAGGCATATGGTTTTTTGAAATAGATTAATAAAGGTAAAAGACCTTCTACGGGACACAAGATTTTAATTCTTTTCTTTAATCCAATCGAGTGTGGTCCAATCAATTATACCAAACATGCATAGAGATGACCTAGCACGTATTACAAAAAGACCACCTCATCTAACAGATTAATTGTTTAACACAATGCAGCTTATTAATTCATACTTGTAGACGCTTCCAACAAGTATACGACAATCAAGAAGATGAATAGTTCAGCTTTAAATTAATGAACAACTCATGGAATGCACCAACAGTAAATCATCTTACCAAATATTTAGAAATTTCTGGCAACAATGTTTTCAAGAATCGGACAAAACAAATAGAAATTTGTAACACAATGCAGCTTATTAATTCATATTTGTATACGCTTCCAACAAGTATACGACAATCAAGACGATGAATAGTTCAGCTTTAAATTAATGAACAACTCATGGAATGCATGAATAGTAAATCATCTTACCAAATATTTAGAAATTTCTGGCAACAATGTTTTCAAGAATCAGACAAAACAGATAGAAATTTGTATTAAAAGAATATTACAATTCACATCAATTTATGTTAACACGAGAATTCTCTAAAGCAAAGCAAATCTCTTAGGACCATTCGTATGCAACATCATAAACAAGTCATTAGTAATTTACATAACAAATTACTCATGAAAAAAATACTCCAATAGTGATTTATTAGAATAATCAATTTTTCAGATAGATTTTCTGAGTTCCTACATGTGGAACATACTAACTATTCAAACTCAAATTTATTGCCAATAAACTCATATGTTGACCAGTTGAGGACAATTACCATTCTGCCCTCTAAGTTTTAAGATTTCAGGACTTCCCCTCAAACTTAACGTAAAAAGGCACTAAGCCCCAAAGATTTCTTTTATTCGCTTCATATTGCTCACCTCACCTAGTTTCCAACTTATGCTCAAGTGGCCTGGTTGTACACTCAATATGCCAAAAGTTAAGAGGAGGGTGTCATATTATTCTTTGGATAAAATAGCAATTTTCCCCCAAATTAGAAGCTGCAATGTCTACCTGATCTCTAATCCAAATCAATTAGTTTAAATTACACATAGAGGATAAGTGCAAATCGGTTGGAAATTAAGAAAAACTTGAGCAGCAAAACAGCACAACACATGATTTTTTTGCTAAGCTTCTGGACGCAGCTGGACCACTTGGTTGTAAAAGGCGATGAGGGGTAAAAAATTCCCTTAATATGTTCACATGTCTTGCAGCTCATATTTCGGCCGAAGATTTGGCAAGGGGACAATTTGAAATAACTGAAGCAATCTTAGGGGTTTGAGTGCTTTTGCACAACCTCAGCGCGACAATTGCAAAAACCCTGAAAAAAGGGAAAAGAAACTTACTTCTTTATTTTATCTTTCAGATCACCTATTTTCTCAAGTGGTGTCTTGAAATCAATACAGAACTCCAGTGAATCACCCATATCCGGGCTTCTATAGAAATTGCTGATAGGTTTGGCCGCCAAAACAGAATTTGGATAGTATATTTTTTCATTATCAAATCTTAGAAAGACTGTTGTCAAGATATTCATCTCTTCCACAATCATCTGCACAAAACAAACAGTAATAAGAAAAAGAATAGAGACAAGAAAGTATAATCCAGCCCACAAAAGATACCTGAACACCGTCGATAACACAACGATCGCCCACATCAAAAGGATGCATTACAAATACAAATATAATAGCTTCAAAAACAGTTTTGCAACTGTTTCCAAATATAAATACTGCCAGAACAAGCTGTGATGAGAGAAAGACGAGCACTTTGGTTGTAGCTATTCCAGTCAAGAGAAGCCACACTATTACGATAACGACTACTAGGATCACTGTAACTAGCTTGTTCAATTGCTTTATAGCAGTTTTTGTATCATTCAGAGCATGCGCTAGTGCTTTGCGACCTTTGTAAACTTTCACCTGCATAGATAAGAAGTATTAGAAAGTTGAAGAAGAGTTCTGCCCCCACTCAGCGAGACTACCAACTGGTGAAGTGCTTGATTATAGGAATTAGGACTATCATACGGCCATAGAAATAGTTACAAAAAAAAAAAAAAATTATCTGTACAAACAAGTATGATAATAGCAGGTTGTTTGATAGTTGGAAATGACGCTAATGACTTTAACATAAAATTGTATCAGGCAATCAGGTATGAAGTAAGGATGAAGATATATTGGTTTTGTATGGAAGTGGTCTTCAAATATAATGCAGCAGAATTGTTTGCTGATTAAAGAGGCAAAATAATAAATAAAAAGTAAGAGGCGCATCTCTAGTTAGCAAGTCAAATAGGTTTTACTAAAAAGTTACTTTTCAAAGTCAAACTTTAATTTTAATGACACATTAAGTACTACTCACTCATCCACAACTCAATTTTAAAAAAGTAACCTTTTAGTGAAAAAAATGAAACCCAAACAGAGGTGTAGTATCAATTTTTTAACATCCATTAGTACTATTCTCATATTATTCTGTCTTAAAGGTAGTATACATTGTATCCGAGATCAATTCACTATTCCTATGTGATAAGAATTGGAAAAGGTCTCACGTACCACCCATTCTGTCAAAGCTTTCCGGTCAATCTGTCCAGTATCAGCCATGTCAATAATTGGGAATACAAAGTCCACCTCTTCTTTAATCATGAATCTCCTTAGGTCGAATTCATCAATGTAGCTGCCCAACAAAATAACTTATTATATAATTGTGAAAGAGGAGGTGGGAATATAAAATAGGCATCAAGGACATGTTTGGTAGGAGTAGACAGTAGAGTGAACAAGATTTTCAGCTTCACGTTCTTTCTTAATACTGTCCAATACTGTGCATTCCATCTTACCAAACATCTCATGACAGTTTAATACATAAAAACATTTGCTCACTTGCAACCAGGCTGAGCTGCATTCCTGAAGATGTGATATGCAGCAGCAATTGCTTCCTCCTCATTGGTAATCTCCTTATCTGTCTGTTCGTTACCTCTGTCATAGACAGTTTCATCGATTGCACTTGAAAGAGTGGTGAGACCTGAATTAGATATCGTATCAACTAACATCTTCATGGTCCAAGCAGAAACTTTTTCTTGCTTCATCCGATGGAGTTTGTTGATATCAATCACCTCTTTCTCCTTCTTTTCCTTTCCTTCCTTCCCCTTCTTTGTCACACGAAAACTGAATTGACTTGCATTACTGTTTGTTTTCCCCAACATCTGAGCTGACTCCATGACTGGGGGGCCAGATAGGGTGAATAGAATGTACTGGTGGAAGATAGATTCTTGAATCCTATCAAAGAAGGAGTTGACATGGAATGAAGATGCCAATATCTTTAGCAGTAAAGTCTTCAAGAGCCACAAGAACGAACCAATGAGTAACGAAGCAATAGTCCAGGTAATATAATCCAAAATTGTGGTGGTCAGACGGGTTCGCTCAACCCCTTCTCGAAATAGCAAAACCCAAGTGACAAGAACCAAACTCAACCAGATACAGACCCGAACGCTCTTCTTCAGGCCATAAACAAAATACAAGACCTTCTTTTTCAGTAAATAGTTGAGCTCAATCAACAAAACAACAAAATGAATTAACCATTTAGTAACCAACATGCCACTAAAGGTAACCAAAACAAGCACACACCATTTCCAAATTCTTAAACCCCAAAGCCTCCAATGTTGCATCTCATCAACAGTTAAGCTAGCAATTAAACACCCAACGATGCAGAGAAACAACAACCATTCTACCAAAACCTTAGCTTTCACTTTCCTGTACCTCAACTTCTTTCTACTGTTCACTCTATTATATATCTCCTCATCCTCGTCCACACCTCTGAAACCACCAGGTGATGACATCAAGGGCGTCTTAGGTGTTATTGACAATGTCCTAATATTCTCCTTAGTACTAGTACTATTAGCATCAATTCTATTAATAGGCGAACCCCGACTTGATATTACATGTTCTTGCATTGAAGATCCATTTTCTTCAAACATCTTAGTATCGAGGAGTACAGATTGTTCACCAAATCTTGATTTTGGCTTTGAGTAAATTGACCTTGAAAACGATTTTCGTCTACTAAGTGTATCAGATGGGATTTTTGGAGGCCTGTTTGCACTGGGACTGAACCCCACATCTGGTGAAGAGCAACTCATTGGCCCCGCATTATGAGCACTGTAAGGCGAATCATGCGATGTTCTACGAGGTGAATCTGCTGAAAGTTTAGATTTATGATCCTTAGAAGCATCAGAATTTGGTAATTTTAAATCTTTTTCACTGATGTTTATAATGACGTCACTGGGTGCTTTCTTGTTCTCCGTCATGCTTATATCTCCACCAGTTTTTGCGGCTTTACCATTTGTATCCATTCAAATCTACCAAATCAAACAGAATGTAAAACAGTATTATGCTTCCAGTCGCTCATCAGAAATTAAATCTGAAAAACTGGTAACGGAATTTTTTTCCTGTAAGTAAAAGAAAAAAGCACTTTCAATCCCAAATACAATAATCTTGAAAAAGAAATAACAGGGGAAAAAGGGAGAAAAGCCCGGTTAAATGTACTGTCAAGAGAACTGAACTTCATAAATTGCTGAATAACACGTGATAAAAATCAAATTTCCTCTAGATCAATATACTCATAAGAACAAATCAATCCCATACCTACTTATATACATGTAATCAAAGCAGTTTTTCCTTCTTTGTTAAACGGCTTCTTCTATGATTGCTTTAGCAGCAAAATGTAACATAAATTTTCCCGCCAAACAATTTTCTTTTATTTATTTCTTCATTTTAATTAACAAGGCAATAAAAATCTAGTGTATTACCAGAAAAAGAGTCGCCGGTGGCTGCAAAATGTGAATCTGAAGAATAGAGAATCAAACAGCAGCATACCAGTATCAGTTTGCGATTCAAAATGATTCTAAACCCCGAATATTCATATTCAAACTAAAGAAAGATGAAGCTTTGTCGCGATTCAACTTAGATTTATAGCCCAGCATTTTATCAATCCCGAGTGTGTGCGGGTGGGGGTAGGGGATGCAGATGAGAAAAGGAGAAAATATTTGAACATGCCACATGCGTCACTTCTAGGAAAATGACATTTTATTATTCCTATTTTTTTTTTCAAAAAATATATATATTTTTTAACTACACATTTTTAATAAAATAATATTACACGTAATTCAAAAAAAATCTTCATTTTTAACCACGTGTTCTCCGTCAATCTACTATTTAAAAATACATTTTACACCAAAAATGAGACTTAAACAAGCCCTAGTTCTTGTTTGGATGTGCATATACCTTCTTATAAGTATTTAGCATCTGTTTGACCTCTATTATTTGATATTATAATTTATAGAATAATATTTTATTGAATAATGTGTTGTTAAAAAAGAAGCAAAATTTTTAATTTACGTATAATATTATTTTATTGAAAAATGTGTTATTGATACGAAGAGAGAGAAAAATGAATTATAATTTTAATAATAACCAAACGAGCGCTTGGATCCACTACTTTTTGTCATTAATATTTAAATAAACTGTGGGTCCTACCCGAATTTTTGTTACTTCTAAATTTTTCTAGCATTATGAGTGAAACAATGACTCTACTTGAATTAAATGCAATAAGGGTCCCTAAATTTTGATGGGAAGTACATCCAACTTTAGGCCCTGTTTGGGAAAAATTTTAATCAAGATTTTAATCAAAATTCTAGCCGTTAACTATCAAATCAGCCACCATTTTTGACCTTCTCTCTCACAGGTGGGGCCCACAGATTGACTATAACGACTATAATTTTGATTAAAATCCCACAAAAATTGCTCCCAAACACGCTATTAATTTGCTTGTAAATCTGTTAATTTAACTAACGAAATATGCTAACATAATGCATAGTTGAGACGTTAACATATTTGAAGACGTGTGATGTGGATGTATACGATAGTCATAAATTAGTTACTTTCCTACATTACTAAATTTTAAAGCATATCGAAAGTTGAGTGACTTGATTGCTCCAAATAGAAAAAGGGTGACCTATGCTCGATATTGGACGAGCAGCAATGCATTTGACGCTTTATATTTTATATCTAAGAGCTTGTTTGGGAGAGATTAAAATCAGATTAAAATTGAAAATATAGCCGTTATTGTTGACTTTTATTAGACAGGTGGGACCCAATAACGGCCATATTTTCAATTTTAATTGGATTTTAAGCCCTCCCGAACGGGGCCTAAAATAACACTTCATTTCTTCGTTCAATTTTTTAATTTTTTTTTTTACTTTTTAAAAGTTTTGAAAGTGTAAATTTAAATATTTTTCATGAATTTGAATCTTGAAACAAGGAACACATCTTAAAATGTATGAAAATATTTTTTTATGAGAAGTGTTACTTGTACATAAATCTATACATAATGGTGTCCATAATTACACGTGGCAATGGATCCGACCATTAATTCAAATCACACTTTCATATCAACAACAGGATTTTGTCCACATTACATTATGGGTACTATTATGTACATATATTATGTACATGTAGACTTTTCCTTTTTTTATTGTGCAAGTGACGAAGATTTTGACAAAGAAGATAATTTTTTATATCCTTATCCTTGAACAAATAAACAATTAAAAAATATATAAAAAAGCAAAAGGTCAATTTCTTCATCCTATATATATTTTTTTAAAGGAAAAATAAGTTGATATATATTGAAGCAATCATACTACATGCACATCATATGTGTTATCATTGTTTACATTATGGCACTGGCAACACACAATTCGTCAGTGTAAAAAAAAAACCTATTTTTTCGCTCACAATTTTTTGAAAATACAAGGATGTCAAAAAAGATGTAAGTTATGAAACGTACACTTAGCATTATTCATATGGAAGAGGACCATACAAATACATGCTCACATTATATATAATATATAGCCGCCTTCTTGGTGAGGTGCCTTTTTAATAATAAACTCAAATAAAATTGGGAACAACCTTTCCAAATTTAGGTCTCAAATTAAAATTTAAGGTACGAATTTGAAGAGCGAACAAATTAAAAATATATTCAATAGGTTGTCATAATTATTCTAGTATTATATTTTAGTTGAATTGGAATAATGGCGAAAAGAAAAGAAATTTAAATTTAAAGTCTATAATTAATTTTTCTCAAATAATGATATTTTCATTAAAGTACACCTACACACCCTTTATGTTTTATTCTTAAGCCCCTGTTTGGGCCACATTATTTTTTTTCATTCTCATTTTTCTACTCATTTTCAACCACACATTCTTCAATAAAATGATATTTTCCATTACATCGATAACTTTTCCTTCTTTTTCAACCACATATTCTCCATCACATCACTTCAAAAAAATACATTCTCTCATTTTAATGTATACCAAACAGGTAAATAACACTTAAGTTTCATTAAATTTGTCATCAATTCAACTTTCAAGTTGTTTGACACTTAAATCGTAGTAGACGAAAGTATACAAAATATGCTAAATCTTAAAATCTCACGTGCCGTTTTTTCCGTTACATAAAAATTTAAAAGGAAAAACAAACACAATTTTCCCATCCAAACCCCCACAAATCCAAACACCCCCAAACGATTTATAAATACATAATGGTGTCCATAATTACACGTGGTATTGGATCCAACCATTAATTCAAATCTCACACTTTCACATCAACAACAGGATTTTGTCCACATCACATTATACACACTATTATGTACATATATTATGTACATGTAGACTTTTCCTTTTTTTATTGTGCAAGTGACGAAGATTTTGACAAAGAAGATAATTTTTTATATCCTTATCCTTGAACAAATAAACAATTAAAAAATATATAAAAAAGCAAAGGTCAATTTCTTCATCCTATATATATTTTTTTAAAGGAAAAATAAGTTGATATATATTGAAGCAATCATACTACATGCACATCATATGTGTTATCATTGTTTACATTATGGCACTGGCAACACACAATTCGTCGGTGTAAAAAAAAAACCTATTTTTTCGCTCACAGTTTTTTGAAAATACAAGGATGTCAAAAAAAATGTAAGTTATGGAACGTACACTTAGCATTATTCATATTGAAGAGGACCATACAAATACATGCTCACATTATATATAATATATGGCCGCCTTCTTGGTGAGGTGCCTTTTTAATAATAAACTCAAGTAAAATTGGGAACAACCTTTCCAAATTTAGGTCTCAAATTAAAATTTAAGGTACAAATTTGAAGAGCGAACAAATTATAAATATATTCAATAGGTTGTCATAATTATTCTAGTATTATATTTTAGTTGAATTGGAATAATGGCGAAAAAGAAAAGAAATTTAAATTTAAAGTCTATAATTAATTTTTCTCAAATAATGATATTTCCATTAAAGTACACCTACACACCCTTCATGTTTTATTCTTAAACCCCTGTTTGGACCACATTATTTTTTTCATTCTCATTCTTCTACTCATTTTTAACCACACATTTTTCAATAAAATAATATTTTCTGTCACATCAATAACATTTCCTTCTTTTTCAACCACATCCAAGGTAATGTTAATTTTTAGTGGTAGAAAATCGCTATTCAGCCCCTTTTTGAGCCACATTAAAATTTTCATTCTCATTCTTCTACTCATTTTCAACCACACATTTTTCAATAAAATAATATTTTCTGTCACATCAATAACATTTCCTTCTTTTTCAACCACATATTCTCCATCACATCATTTCAAAAAAAATACATTCTCTCATTTTAATGTGTACCAAACGGGTAAATAACACTTAAGTTTCATTAAATTTGTCATCAATTCAACTTTCAAGTTGTTTGACGCTTAAATCGTAGTGGACGAAAGTATACAAAATATGCTAAATCTTAAAATCTTGCGTGCTGTTTTTTCCGTTACATAAAAATTTAAAAAGGAAAAACAAACACAATTTTCCCATCCAAACCTCCACAACTCCAAACACCCCCAAACGATTTATATGACAATGAATGNTCCAAACACCCCCAAACGATTTATATGACAATGAATGTAAATATTAGATATATGCACGGACGGATTATTTTTTTGACACATATTTTTATCAAAATACATTCTTTCAAAACTCATTTTCAACCACACATTCTTTAATAAAGTATATTTTTCATCACATCAATAATTTTTTCTTACCTTTTAACCATATATTTCACATCATATCACTATTTAAAATACATTATTTTTTCAATAATATCCATTAAACACGTCAAGGGTCTGTTTGATTGCAATAGTGTAATTTGGGTGGAAAGAAAATGAATTCCAAGGAATTGAATTACCTAAAATTGTTTTCCTGAGATTGTCAATTAATTGTATTTAATTAGTATAATTTT